GTTAGGATTTGCCGTCACTCGGAAAGCTCCGCGCTTCGCCGGCCTACGCGTACCCAGGCGCCGGCCGACTCACGGCAGCAAAACCCGACACACGGACCTTACTTTGCTAACTCAGGCTGTGCCGCGCCGTGTCATAACCGCCGGCCAACTCACAGCAGCAAAACCCGACACACGGACCTTACTTTGCTAACTTAGGCTGCTTCGACCCGTGTAACATCATGTCGCCGGCCGACTCACAGCAGCAAAACCCGACACACGGACCTTACTTTGCTAACTTAGGCTGCTTCGAGCCGTGTAACATCATGTCGCCGGCCGACTCACAGCAGCCAAACCCGACACACGGACCTTACTTTGCTAACTTAGGCTGCTTCGAGCCGTGTAACATCATGTCGCCGGCCGACTCGGCACTTGAGCGCCGGTCGACTCGCCACTCTGCGCCGTCCGACTTGCCACTCTGCGCCGTCCGACTCACCGCGCTGCGCCGGCCGACTCGCCACTTCAGCGCCGGCCGACTCGCAACATCGCCTACTACTACTACTACTACTACTACTACTACTACTGTCTACTACTACTACTGTCTACTACTACTACTACTACTGTCTACTACTACTACTACTACTACTACTACTACTACTACTACTACTACTATCTACTATCTACTATCTACTATCTACTATCTACTATCTACTATCTACTGTCTACTACTACTACTACTACTACTACTACTACTGCTACAGCTACAGCTACAGCTACAGCTACAACTACAACTACAACTACAGCAGCAACTACAACTACAACTACAGCAGCAGCAGCAACAACACACGTGCAGCCCATTCCATTCGAAGAACAGACCCTTCAGGTCGAAGCCTTTCGACCCTTCAGGTCTTTCAAGGCGAATGATGTATACCTGCCACCAGAGGTCTCACATCTTTGGTACCCTCCGACCACCTGCCATGCCGCGGAGCGGGCAAATCGTGGTATCTTCACCCGCCAGGATCCGACCAGCCGGTGAACGTGAAAGCGCCCAATGGTCAGACCTGGTGGTTCCAGGAGCGCCCGACCGGTCAACCGGTCACCGGCGCCGAGGTTTGGAAGGCGGTGAGGTTCCGGCGGGCATGACCTGAAAGCAGGTGCTTTTTTGAGAAAGATACACCATGGTCGTCATGGAACTGGAAGAAGTTCTTAATATTACATTATATTACCCCATGAACATACTACATGACATTATATGACCCTATAGGTAACTATTGCATACATGGATGGTCTGAGTCTGGAAAGACTTTTGGGGATCATCTCCTGCTCTTCTAGTTGACACATGTTGACATGCAGCTCTGAAGAGAAGGTTCAACCTCCACCCTTGCTGTTTTTCTTTTGGAATGCATGTTCTGCCAATCAAGCTCGTATGTCACGTGGTTCCCCAAGTGTTTCCAAACACGATGCTGCCCCAAAATATCCGCCCAACAAATGTCACCAACACAATGGCAGCTCCGGGTTTCTGCAGGAGAAGGCCTTGGTGCCTGCCTTTGCTCTTCAGGATGACTCGCGGCTTTTCACTCCTCTGGGTTGCTCGGCAGTCGAACGGTCCAGGACGCAGACCTGGAGCGGCGAACAAAAGGCGAAAAAACGCTTTGGTTGCTTGTGTTGTACCGAACTGGGTAAACCCCTTTCTGATCAATATATTGATCAAATATCATCAACTATCATCAATAAGTATGTCTTAAAAAAAAGCGTGTGTTTTGGTAGGTAGTCCGGGTTCCGTTCCATGAATTCTGTGAATGAATGAAATTAGACACAATCACGTTTTATGGTTATTTTCAATCAAGCACCGTCTGTCTTGTGCGTCTTGTGCCAGTGCCTGCCAACTCGCCCCTGCCGGTCGTCCGAGAAGCAGCCGGTCGTCCGAGACCGACCCTGAAGTCGCCTTCATGCGCCTTCCTGACCTACCATGGAGTTTAACATATGTTCATGGTCAGGTCATCCCAAAGCACCATAGCTTTACTAAGGACTTGACCAAAAACCAGGTCAAACAATGAAACAACACGTCTTGGAAGGCATGACTGTATGACTCGGTTGTGTGATGCAAATCGGGAGATCCTCTTCCACCGGGATCGGTGGGGCGTCGGA